AGGAGATGAAGAGTAGTGAAAAGAGTTCAAGGGAGAGGGGGAGAGAATTGGAAGAAGGAAAAGGCTAGTGGGGAAAGCTTAGTGAAGAGTAAGCGTTAGACCAGAATAAGAGAGGAAAGTAAATAGAGGAAAGTAAAAGGAGAAAATAATACCGCGGCCCACGGGAAGTGAGCTATGTGTCTTATCCTGGAGGAGGAGAAGACATCGGGCCAGGAGACCCTGCAAGCAGTTTGCAGATGGTCAGGTGTGGGAGAGACTGAGTTGTGGAACCAAGAGTGAGCTTCGGCACTTACGGGACTCTCGTAAGTCTGGGGTCAACGTCTGGAGATTTATATGGCAGTGCAAGGAGTGGGCTTAAAGATCAGCCCAGCCATATTAATGCATTTGAGTTTGAGACAGGTGTCTCTGTTCGGCCTGTGCTGCATTAATGGTACACTGTCGTTAGACTGTTTGATATATTATTTTAAATCATGAAGGAAGAGCGATTCTGTAGCAACTCGGTTTCAATAGGCTATACTGCAACTGATAGGAACATTATAAACGTGTAAAATAGAACAGAACATTAGTGAGGTCAATCACCTCAGCTTAAAGGAAAACATCAACAGAAACAATGTCATTGTCATTATCATGTCTATTTCTACTACACCAGTATCAGCATCCAAACAGGCAATGTTGCGTTATGGGATTTTCAGGAGGGAGGGAGGTTGCATGGGTGGGTTGGAGTTGGGGGCTGGGGTGGGGAGGTAGGAGGAAGGAGGGAGCAGAGGGGGGGGCTTGGGAGGGTTGGAGGTGGGAGCAGGAGGGGGATGGAGGAGGGAACAGGAAATGTTTGGGAGTTGACGTCACGGGTTCAAAACCTGGTCGGGCAGGCGGTGTGGAGTCAGGACTGTCTCCCCCACCCCGGCAGAAGAACGGACCCGCGAGGCCCTGGTTAGAGGCCAAGCAGGTCCCCCATGCGCTGGGGTGCCGGAGAGGTATCTCTAAGGCACAATCCCCCGAATACTGTAATGTTAATAGGTTAAGTGCTCAAGGCAGCTCGGAATTCTGCCAGCTCACCGCTCCTAACTGCTCGAGAGGATCCACGGTCAAGTCATATCTTTATCAAGAAGGTATACATGCCAATATACATAAACAACATATACAATAAGGCAGAGTAATCCTACGGAGCAACAGCTATATTGGGCAAAGTGCCTTACATATCATAAATAAAGGGAGATAAGGCTAGGCGGTAAGTGTCTCATTGAAAGGGAAGGTGGGTGGGAAGGTGAGTGGGGAAGAAGTAGTTGGAAGAGCAGGGAGAGAAAAAACAATAAGTAAATAAATATATAAATAAAAAGAAAATTTACCAACAGTAAACTCTCACAATACTTGACCGCTTGGTGATTAAATGAGCATCCCGCCATTTCAATGACCTTTTCGGTGTCAACGATGTCCGTAGCCATCTCTTTCATGTTATAGCCGCTGCGTCGTAACGATAATGTAGTGGGGATAGAATGGCTACACACTGTATACTGTCAGTAGAGCAGGACATAGCAGGAGTGTTACCTTCAATATTAGGGATGGGGGTATTCTCTGGGTGGCTTGGTAGTGCATTAGGCAGTCATGGGCACCTTAGGGAGAAGTGTGCCTGCTTCCAGTGCAGAACAAGGAGGATCCGGATGCATCGGGGATGGATAGGGCAATAATGACGGGACCCACACAGTACCTGAGATCTGGGCGGTGTAGTTCTTTTAAGCCTCCAGGCCTCCCTCAGGGATGGTGCCGCGGTGCTATGCGGCTGGGTGCTGTCCGCTGTAGAGAAGGTCAGTCCGAAATTACTTGTTTATCCCAGGCTCAAGCTACTGCCGAGGCGACATTGCTTTGTTCGGTCCCAGGCTTCGCGGTTGCCAATCCGTTGCAGACCGAGAGGGAGAAGGAGGCTGAAGCCGTTTGTCTAGCAAACGGAACTCCGCATACCATTCTGGTAGATCCATCATTGGGATGCGGAGCTGGTCGCAGAATCGCTGCAGGTCCGCCGGTGCCGTGAGGATGACAGTGCGGCCCGAGTGAGTGGCGGCTAGACCAAACGGGAAGCACCATTTGTAGCTGATGCCTCGTGAGCGCAGGGATTGCAGCAACAGTCGGAGCGCCCTCCTATTCTGCAGGGTGATGCGAGAGAGATCTTGGAAAATCTGGATTTCTGCCTCTTGAAAAAGAATACGAGGCCTATCTCTAGCCCTGCGGAGGATTTCTTCTTTCAGGCGGAAGTCCACCAGGCAGCATATTACATCTCGTGGAGGGTCTGTGTCCCTACCCTTAGGACGTAGGGCACGATGATAGCGTTCCATAGGTACCGGCGATTCCAGTGGTCTATCCAGGAGCTCGTTGAAGATGTGTAACAGGGTCGATTCCAGCTGGTCCGGTTCAACATTTTCCGGGATGCCTCGCATTCTCAGATTGTGCCGGCGCCCTCTGTTCTCTAGATCCTCCATATGGCGATGCATCTCAAGCATGCGGGTATTGTGTGCGATAGATATCAGATGGCTTCGTTTTAGGGCTGAAGTGTGGTGGGAGGTAGTTTCTTCAACCTCGTGAAGACGCTCCGCCACGGAGTGCAGGTCAGCTTTCAGCTCTGAGATAGCCGTAGTGAGTGTAGCTTTGATATCTGTAGCGATAGAATGGAGGTCTGACATGCAGGGCATCTGTCCCATCAACGCGATTAGGTCTTGATGTGACGGGTGTGGTTCAGGTAGGGAAACTCTGCTCGGGCTACAGTTTGGCGAGTATCCCTCAGGAGAAGATGGCGTCACCCTCTCCACGTGTCGTTCCGGCGGTTGAGTTCGGAACAGTTCCGGGAGGCTGCGAGCTGGTTGAGAGCCGGCTCCTTTAGATGGCTTGGCTGCCTGGGTGTTCTTTCCCGTTCTCCTCATAGTATTGGAGACTTTAGACCCCTTGTTAAGCAGAAAGTCGAGAGCCCGAGTGCCGGAGGAGAAGGTCTAAGCGTCCATCTTGGTCTTGCGTCAGGCCACGCCTCCCTGGATTCGCATTTTTAATATAATCAAGTTACATCAATTTGCCAAACTAAGGCATGTGTACCTTGTAGTCCCAAAATAACGATATTCACCAGAAAATGGTCTCCTGTCATTTTTTTCTATAAGTGAAAGTGGCTGTTGCGAGATCTGGAAAATTCCCTTAATTGCCCCCCTTTTACCCGATTACCCCCTTTTCAACCTCAACCTGTTATTGCATCCCAGCACCATGCCCCATGCTGGTAATACAAAAATAAACAACCCATCCATTAAGAACCAGTAGCATATACTTTGGCGGCTAGCTCTCAATCCTGGATGACACATGCAGGGTGCCCACTGTCCATTGAGAACCAAGTGATCATGTGATTACTACTTCAGCTAGGACAGTAAAACAGGGATAAAGATAAAAACCTGCCAAGCATAGACCTTTTAAAAGGTCAGTAATGGCAGCGCCCATATGATTCATGTGCCATTTTTATTTTATATGCTTTCATTCTGGCAAAAGTTTTTCAAAAACAATATTGCAACATAGATAAATCTCTTTGTATCTAGGTAAGTATAGGACATAAATGCACCTTGATTCATAGCAAAATCTTGGTCTGTGATGGATATAAACAAATGTTTGCGAGCACCTGGCCATCATGTGTATATGAGCTTGTTGGACATCCCACTCCAAGACCATGGCCATTAATATGGATTTGAACACCATTTGCAACTAAAACAGCCTTCACTCTTCTGGAAAGAATTTCCACAAGATTTTCATTGAGTCTGCGGAAATTTGTGTCAGAAGAGCATTTGTAATATCAGGTACTGATACTGGACAAGACCTGGCTTGCAGTCGGCATTCCTAATTATCTCCAAGATGATCAATAGGGTTTAAGTCAGGATTCTGTGCAGGCCCCTTAGGATCCTGCTCATGAAACTCATCAACCCACGTCTTTATAGACCTGGCTTTGTTCACAGAGGCACAACCATGGTGAAACAGCCTTACCTAAACCATTGGCAGAAGGTTAAAAGAGCACAATTGTCAAAAAGGTATTTGAATGCTGTAGTATTAACAAAACCCTCCACTGACCGCACATTAATTCAATAATTCACAGGCATGTCCCAATATATTTGTGGCCATACAGTGTAGGTGTGATTGTCAGGTGTTCATTAGCTTTTGCCATTACTTTTAAGAGCAACATTATATATATATATATAATAAATGCAGATCGTGGGATCTGTGTGATTCCATCTTGTGTATAAACCAGACTAAATACCGTAGTAGTGTATCCTAAAAGAACTACATAGTAATACAGGAAGACTCTAGCCCAGTGCTTTGCACTGCATGTCATGTCTTAGGTAGGGATGGCATAGCTTGTATTTCATAGGGGAGCCTTGCTTTTCATCATCCCCTATGTGAATACTGGAAACCTGTTTTGCAATATTTTCTCTTACAGGATGGACTGTACTGCATTTTATGGTCACACCATAATACCAGAATTCATAAGCAGGTGAAATTACAAGTGAAAAAGTAAATTGTATTCTGTCTTGAGAACAGCTTTTCCCCAAAAAGCTGTGGGGAAAGGGGGAACTCTCTCTGTTAATATACAAAGTAATCCAGAACAGGATTTTAGTTTTCCAGGCAATCCCATTTAACGATATGGTGGATGATGAACGTGCTAGAGTCCAACCACATCTTAATAATTCCTTTTATATGGATTTACCCTTTAATGTTGCCCAGGGATAGAATGTCCATTGAAGAAACAAGTCACAAAACAAAAAGAACTAATGCAATCTTTAATCTTTACAGGAACAAAGCTTCGGTTTTAGAAAACTTGATCCTGGGAAATGGAAGGTTATATCATGTCAATTATATCACAGTCAACTCTGTCTAAAGCACACTCTGATTTGGTATTGCTTCTGTGATGTCACATACACAATCTCACTCACACACAGAAATAGAGCACAAATTTTTGTATAAGTAGAAAAGTGGAAGAAAATTTTTACCCATAAGAAGTCGCCGTTTCACCCGCTTGTCCACATCAGTTACTGACGTGGAATTGTACTCAGAACTCTCAATTGCAGCCTCATCCTTTTCTAAAACACAATTAAGGAAAAACATGGAGCATTTGGTTAATCAAAAGCCCGAATCTATTAACCAGAGCTTCTTGGCAATGTGCACAACTGTAGCTGAAGTAAAAGCCAGCAGTGAAGGTATGAAAAAACCGTTCCATAAGAGTGTTAATCCATACCCACCCACCCTGCCAAAGCCCACCAGAGATATTATTAGTGGCTGCAGAAATATGGATGGAGTTATACACATGGAAACAAACCTATTAATGACACACAAGGCAGTGGACAGAAGTAGAGACATCTAGTTTTTCAAGAACCAAGATTGAAACCACAGTGTGAGTAGCAAAGTCCGGTGATGGATGATTATGGAACATTAAAAGATGAGACCTTTTAATAACGTGACACAGGAAAAAAAAAAGGAAAAAAAAGAAGGCACACACAGCATGCACTTAAACCAACCAGGACAAAAAAAAAAAAAAAGAGAAAGAAGAGAAGATCATTTGGGCAGTGCTGGTTGCCTGTTGTCTATGGATACATTTAAGTAGACATTCAGATGTCGCAAACAAATAAGATTTTTGTAATTGGTTGACATGCAGTGAAGCAAGAAAAAGCAGCGTAAAGAGGAAAAGTATTTTTTTCATTTTTTAATTCTTGTTTGTGCATACAGCAACATGAGAAGGAAAAGATAAGCTTCTTATAACGTAGAGCAAGTTAGGAATACATAAAACTAGCAAGAGTAACTAGGTTTCATTAGGAGTCATTAGGTTGTTATTAACAAGGAAGGATATAGACAAAATGAACAGTAATTGATGGAAAGAAAAGAGGGTCTGTAGTGGAAACATTATTGCACTGCCTTGCTTAAAGGACAACTCCACACATTTTTTGTCACAAAAATTCATATACACCAATATATATTAAGATGAGTTGCAATTATTGTTGACTTGATGCCCATGGTAAAAATTTAATTTGAATGTTTCTAACCTATTTGCTTGTGAGCCCAATGTTGTAGCTAACACCTAGTCTGCAATGATGAATGTCTTGGCTCTTAGGTCCTACCCTTTGCAACAATATTTGGCAGTTAGCCAAAAGTACTTTAGTTTTTGTACAGTTGCAGACACATTTACTTTGCCCATTCAGGGAAAGTTGACGGTGTCTGTTAAACCTTTCCGACCACCTCATAATTACTTCTCCAGAGCCCCCATGCCCCTACTTCCTCCATTGTAGCCTCCACCAAAATACTCAATATCAGCGATTTTTGGAGCTCAGGGAGAGCAACAGCATTACCCTGTTCATTATATGACAGTGCTCAGGCTTAGAGACTGGTGGCTAGGTCCAAGAACTGCATCATGGGTGGAGGTTATGTGTTCCCCATACTAGAAAATACTGAGTAATATGCAATAGGGGCCATGGAGGAAAAAGCAGAGTGAGAATAAAGTGGTCGGGGTTGGACTTTACACACCGACTGTCACTTTCCCTTGGATGGGCAGAATGACAGTGGCTCTTTTACCCAAAAATGCTTAAGGGAAACTTAAGAAAAACATGGTGGTTACTGACCATTTATGACCTGTCCTCCTAAAAAATGCTGTCTAGCTGCAATACTGACCCCCCCTCCATCCCTAACATGTATGTAGTTACAGACTGCTGCCCTTTCTTTGACTTTCCTGATATGCATACTTTTTCTGAATCATGAAAAGTTCACTTTAAATGCATGTCTAAGGTGCTCAAGTTTGGAACTGTGACATTCACACTAACATTGGGTGCAACAAAGGGACTCCTTAAATACATTGCACAGGTATAGAATATTGTACATGCTCAACTATTGTATTCATTTATAAACAGATCCCTAAAAACCTTTTTATAAAGCTTTTCTTTGTTTTTAATATGTTTATTAAAATGTGATTTTCTTATAGCAGGGTTTACAAATAGATTTCAAAATTTTTGAGTCAGTATAACTGTTTTGATATTTATGTTTTTCTGCTGCTATATAAAATATTTTAAAGTGTATCAAAACCCAGGATAGCCAGGTAATGTTCTATGGAGAAGCAGTGCTATGGCCTAAGACAGGAAATGTGTTAGGAATACAGAATAACTCTACCTCTTCATTTCCATAACATAGGGAGGAGGTAACATGTGGCACAAGCATCAGCTAAAGGATAAAACAAAATAAATAGTTCACTTTTATTTGTATACCAGAAAAAATTGATTCACTTGCCAAATCTCCCCACATCTTACAAGGCCATAAAAATACAATAAAATATGTCAAGCTCACCCAGTGAACTAAAGCACCTTCATTATGGCCTTGGAAGAGGGGATGGAGATACAAATTACTGTAATAAAATTAGAATAGGGACATTAACATATTTACATATTCTCAACAACCAGTAAAAGAGCTTTTAAAAAAGGCATAACTGCAGCAGGTACAAAACATTTAGACAGTGACACTTCAGTGGCAATTTAAAAGCTTACAGCACTAGCTGTTTGTTCACATCAGTAGGCTGTCAGACTTGCCAAGCCCTTGCTCCAATTGGAAATAAGGGGAGAGGTGCTGTCATTTTCATGCTTCTGCTGTGAACTTTGAAATTACTCTAAATCACCTGCAGCTACAGAGGTCAGTGATTGCTTGTTTTAAAGCTCTCTTACTGCTAGTTAAAAATATGTAAACAAGTTCATGTCTGGGCATAGCTGATTTTTAATAAGTGAATCAACTCAATGGTATCCAATCAAAACTGATTTTATATTTTTGGGACATGTAAACATGATTTGTAAAAATACGATTCAAATTTTGCAAGTCATCTTAGTATCATCTGTTGGATAAAAATGTGAAAATAAATTGAGTGGAGATTGTCTTTAATTTAAAATATGAATGACGGCAGGGAGTTGTTTCATGCACTACATAAAATAAGTCAGGAAAAGAAAGGTGAGCAAACAGACAAATGCATTAGACAAATATAACAGGTGTATTTGTCTAGCATTGCACAGGTTTGCAGACTTGTCGTGAGGCTTAAATCATAGCACCATCTTTCTATTGAATTTGATACTGTAAGGCAGGACAGGGAACTCAGAAGCCGTACCTATTAACTTTCTTGTTCTAACTGTAATAGCTTTTAAAGTAACCACTGCATTTAATGAGATATGTACAAATTATTCTCATAGTCATGGTGGAATAGTAGACACTCTTTGCAGTTTTAGACCAAATCCGCTTACATAGAACTAGTCACTCAAGACAAAGTGACAGATTCTCTTGATCAGGCACCACCTTACCCACTGTTCCTTAACGTCATCGTGTTCCCCAGCCTGTCTCTTGGAGCACTCAAATCCCCAGCACGCCCTACTCAGGCATGGTGGTGGGGAGTATGAGGCCTTCTCCCCTTCCTCCCTGCATACAGTACTGAGCTCTAAGCGGTCAATCGCCAGGACCAAATACGGTCACGTGAGGGAAGGAGATGGTCATTAACACTGAGTAAGCTCCAACACCGCCTGACATGCAGATTACACAGGCACCAGGCCTAGGGCTCCACAACAGAGTGGCGAGGGAGTCTGCAGATGATATCAGAGGGTTGATGAACCATCAAGAGGACCGGTCTCCTTGCCCATAATGGGTAAAGTAAGGGGTTTTCTAAGTTTTATTAAATTATCTACAGTTTCCCCCCATGTCAACAAAGTCTGAAAATTTCTTACAGGGCAGAATGGATACTTGAAAAGCATATACACTTAATAAAAAATTGGTTATTCTGCTCCCCTACCTCGCAATATCAAGAGTCATCTACAAGTTTGAGATGGGCTTTAAAATCAGCGCCACGAAAGTCCGCAAGATAGGGAGGATCATGGGAGTGTAGAGGACAGCTGCCTATCTCTGCAAAACTACATGGTTGAGTGAACACATTCAACACGTTCTAGATTAGATCAGGCTGCAAACGAGGCTCTTTTTGAGTTTGTTTTATTTCGTATCAGCATATTAAGTTTTTTTTGTTTTGTTTAAGACAAGACAGGCAATCAGGGACCATCACCAGAAAGCAGAGTTTTTCAGAACGAAAAATAAAAAAAAAAGCATTAAAACCACAGGAAAAAAAGCTTATTCTAACTTAAAACAGGTTACAAGGAACCAAAACAATTGAACAGAAGAAGGGGCGGACAAAGGGATTCCAATGGGATTAACAATAAGGATGTAAACATGTATAAAACATTATTAATTGACAATACAAAAACAGCACAGCTTTATTTTTCTTAAATACAATTCCACTGCATTAACAATAAACAGAATGCTGGTGTGTATGTTTAAATAATCATTTAGTCTAAACAACGTTCAGTGCAGTTCCCCTTTTAACAGGATCTGTTTTGGCAGTTGAAGTATAACAAACGACAAAAAATTGTTTTATAATGTAAAACACAATTTCAGGGCCATTGTAATAACAATTTGCAGGAGCAGATCTGAGAAAAGTTAGCCTTGGTTGGTGAAAAGCAAATGCATACAATAATAGATACAATGATAAACAAACCAATTGCCAATTAATTGGCATATGGATCTCTACATGACACTACCTGTTGATCTACATCACCCATAATTCTCAGCCAGGGTTGGCAAAGCATCATGGGAGGTAAAAGCTCACATTTGCTGAGGGCTCAAAGTAGCCTGGTTTTGGTTCAGTTCATGTGAATCAGATAGTCATTTTACATGAAACTGAAAATGATGGAGCACCCATTTGCTTCTTTTATTAGTGGTGAGATCTTTGTGTTTGAAAAGTATAAATAGCCTAAATGAAAAAGGACTCTACCCCTGCCATGAATTCCAGGCTCTGCTGCCCCTTCTGTGGGCCTGGGACTTACATGGCATGTGCCATTTGCTGATCATCCCTGTGCTGAATCAATCTGAAAGCAACGGGGATTTCGTCACTTCTGGTTTCAGGATATAAAAATGTAAATAAATGTTTCCCCCCCATTTAAGTCCCCTGCCCCTGTGTACACATTTATACGACTGCATACAACATGCATCGGGTGCTCCTACATACAAAAAAAACATCAACTGT